TAATATCTTGCATATCAGGATCAGGGACTAGCACCTCTACACACATTAAATCCATTAATAGTTGTGTCATTTGTTCGTATATCCTTGTCAATATAAAAAAAAGCTGGGTTCAAATAATAACCAGCTGCATGCAATGGCCGATGTAGCTGTCTATCCCACTTCTCATCAATAATCTCCCAAACATGCTTGTAGCGGGTTTCTGCATCATTGAAAGTTTGAGCTATCTCTCTTTTGCATTTCTCCATAGCATCATATATGTAGCCCATAGAAGGTTTGTCACTATTAACCATGCGAAGGAATTTGACAAGAGGAAAAAATACTTTAAGAGCGTCCTTCACCCCTCTCCAAAAAGCCTTATAAAATATAATATCTCTCACTTTCTTCCCAACCTGATCCTTAGACCACTTGCATGCTTTCCACTCATCTGAGATAAACATTTGCCTCAACTGCACTCTCCTCGAATGTATGCTATCTAGGCATAAGTACCAGGTCACAAATCTCGTGACCCCAGACCTCACAATCTCTTTCTTCTTTGTAAAGGTACGCATCATGCTGAGGGTGAGATGGTGGCTATAAATAAAATTTTTAACTAACTTGGCCTTCTTCATTGCACCTGATATCTTGGTTAAACCGTTAGGAGCCTCAAGCATGAGGTTTATACAATGTGCTGTACATGGTGTCCAAAAGATTCTAGGATAAGCTATGCACAACAAATTAGATGCAGCAACATTAGGAGCAGCATTGTTTGTGACAAATTAGATGCTCCCCAACCTCCTTGATTCCCTTCTCTATCACTTGACATATGTAATGGGCATCATGGATATGATCAGAGGCATCAATAGACCTCAAAAAGACAATCCCCGTTGGACAATTCACAAGTAAATTCATCTGACTTCTTCTCTTCCTATCACTCCAAGCATCAGTCATAATAGAAACTCCATTCTGTTACCTGGAATGAAAGAACAACCATGCGCCCTTCTTAAGTTCTACAGCTTCCTTCGTGGCACTCACTGCGTTTTTTAAAAAAGGCTCTGAAAGCTCATATGGGGTTGGGGGTTTCATCCCAGGGCTAAATTGGCCAACTGCCTCTATCGCAGCATAGACGTTGCTTAAGCGAGCGGTATTGAAAGGAATGCTCGCTTCATAAAACCATGTAGTAAGATAATACGCAGCTCTATCTCTCTCTTCCTTCTTGATTTTATTTTCAATAGTGGTTTGCTTTTTGGTTTTCTCTTGCAACCTCAGGGTCAGGCCGAGGTAAAAAACTATACATAGAGCCTCTAACCCAAGACTTCTTAGTCCTGGAACCAGAATCAATTATAACTCCCTTCCCTTGTCCCTTAATAATAGATTGCTCAACCTCTTGACATCCCTCCATTTCCTCATCACTATCATCATCATCAAAATTGACCTGAACCCCAGACCTAATCTCTGCTATAGAGGCAAATCTCTCATTTTTTTTTATTTTCTCCATGTTCAAAAAATTGTTTATTTCCTCCTTAACAGCATCAGGAGTCTTTTTATATGGGGCAACATCCCCCCTGATACCGACAAGATGTTTCTTGAACCGGTTTATGTCCCCTTTTGTATTCTTTTCACAAAACTTGCATCTTATGCAATTTTTATCATTAGGATCTGGGTTTTAGCCATATTTCCAATCGGGATCACCACTCCTATGAGATCCCGAAGAAGACATCTAAAAAATAATGCAAATTACTAAAGCAATAAAAAAAAATCACTTACTTTGAGTTTGATTGCTCATTCTTCAAACTTCTACCTCAAAGATGCTTCTAAATACTCAAAATCTTTTTTCAAA